TTTGCTAAAATTGATGTTAAAGTTTTTATTACTGGCTACTATGTTCCATTTTGAACATATAGTTTATTTTATTACATATTTAAAATTTTTAAATAGTTATTAGTGTCCTGCTTTAATACTGCCCATGTTTGAGGTATTAAGCCCTCAAATATAATAATGTTTAGGTATGCTTGCCATAAAAACAATATAAAGTGGTTTAGTACATTCAGACGAAAAATTAATACTCAACTGAAAATAATATGTCCTATACAATTGTTTATTTGGAAAGCTGTTTCATTTAACATTTTGAACTGATTTATTTTTCATAACCTTGTATGTGTTTGTTGTAATTGAACTTGTGTCTGTCACTTATTACAACATTAGTTGTACTTAGGCTATACAAAACAAACTAAAGAGCATCAACAATGCAGTGTTTTTATTTGAATTACATTGTTTTACTGTTGACAAAGGCACACAATAAACATGTTATGATAATAAAACAAACTTATACTGAGTGAATTGTGTGTTGAGCAAATCTGTTCACACTACAGCTAAACTTGTATGAAATCAACCATGAGTGGTATTGTTACGTCTCTGGTCGTTTGTAAATTTCCCTTAAAAATTCTATCCGAAGAACTTCAGCAATACAAGTCCTTTATTTAAGAAATACTTGGACAATTGTCAGCAGACGAAAGGCACAACTATAGAGCACAATTTGAGCTCCTGGCAGAAATGAATGGATGAACAGAGGAGCAGAAAGCAGTGCACCTGGCAACAAGCGTGAAGGTACAACCACTGGAAGTACTTGGACAGTTGTCAGCCCTGAAGGTACAACCACTGGAGTAAAACTTGGACAGTTGTCAGCAGACGACAGGCACAACTATAGACCATTGGTAGCTACTCTAGAACTCAGGTATGGAACTCAAAATCAGTCCAAAGTCTACAGAGCTATGTTGAGGACGAGAGTGCGTGTTAAAGGGGACAGTCTGCAAGAGCTGGCGCAGGATTTGGAAAGTATGGCACACAAGGCCTACCCAATTGCACCACCCAATGTCATCAAGCTGTTGCTGAGGGATCAGTTTGTAGACGCCTTGGACAGTCCACAACTGAAGATACAAGTAAAGCAAACACACTCCTCTACTATGCAGGATGCAATGGCCAGAGCTCTTGAATTCGAATCCTACGTTAAGTCCAGCACAGAGGTACCAAGGTTGGTACAGTCATCAGGATTCAAAGCCAGAAAAGGGCAGCTCTCAAAGAAGTTTGAGGGACTTTGTTGGTACTGTAACAAATCTGGGAACATAAGAACTCAATGCCGACAACTTCAACACAGGGAAGATTCCACGGCAGGAAAGGCTGCTACCTAGAAAGGTTGTTGGAACTGTGGAGAGCAAGGACATATGAGGAGCCAATGTAAGAAGAATAGTACCAATAAGTCAGCTTCAGGAAACCAGTAATGATTGGTGCTGAGGGACGCCCACCAACCCCATTGTGAAAGTCCTAACAGCTAAGTGTAAAATGGCAAGAACACATTGTGTCTATGTGACAGGAAAGCTGGATGGCCAAAAGTGTAATTTTGTCATAGATTCTACATCTCAGCAAACCCTTGTGAGTATCAAGGTGCTGGATCTTAAATGAGTACAAGAAGCCATACAGAAGCTCTGTGGTGTGACAGGACATTATGCAAGGTTGTGGGGACCAGTGTGGGTAACTACTGAGTTCATGGGCATAAAGGACAGACACAAGGTATACTTGGCTGACATTGAAGACCAATGCATACTAGGGTTGGACTACTTACTACCGAGGAAGTGTGTAGTAAACTTTGATAAAATGACGTGTGGGAACAACAAAGGCCAAATTCCGGTAAGTGTTGCTGCTTCTGTTGATTTACATGTCACATCACTTAAGTCAACTATAATACCCTTATGTCAGAGAAGATAATTTGGGGTAGAATAAAATAACATCCCCAAGGAAGACCAATGCTTGTAGAAATAGTGGAAGACCCATTCAGGTTAGCAGATGTGAAGATTAGAAGGTCATTTGTGGCAGGTCATCAAGTAGTACCCATAACCGTGGCTAATTTCTCTATATTTGAGCAGACACTTAAGTAAAGGGGCGTTGTTGGGTGTGTGCCAGGAGGTCGAGCTAGTCAACGTTAAGGCAAAACATAGAACCATAAATAAAGGACATCCTCTCCCAGAGCATTTAACTGACCTCTGTGAGAAGAGCATGGTCAATTTGTCATCATCACAGGCTCTTCAGGTTAGGGAACTTTGGCGAATTATGCAGACGTCTTTTCAAAAGGATATCATGACCTAGGCTGCACATACCTTGTAGAGCACAGAAAAAACACAGACAATCGCCGTCCAATAAAGATCTTTCCGAGGAGAATAGCTCCAGCAAAGCGACAGTAGATGGAGAAGGTCATGGATGGCCTAATTAAGGAAGGGATAGTCGAGAAGTCAGATAGT